GGTGTGGAGCTGCTGTTGGAAGATACACAGAGTTCGAGTTGTGTACAAGAGCGGCATATTACATAAAGAGGTAGTCTTTAGTGTTTTTATTAAGTCCTATTAATGTACACTATAAATCTGAACTAGTGAAATCGTGTTTTCAGGTCCACGTGGATGTAGGGCACTGAACCACATTAATTCTTGTGTTCTGTTTATTTGCTTTAGTAGAATATAACTGTGTTAACACAAGAATTCAGTTGTAACTAACACATTGTTTCGACTAATCAAAATGTTACAACTAGGAATTACTGAATTTATAGGCATATAAATTTACAATTGGCATCAAGAGCCTCTCACTAGATATACATAGTGTGTGATTTTGGGAATTTGATTTATTTGCCTTTTATCGTTCATAGGTACTATGGGTTCTCATATGGAAGGTGGTTCCACTACTCGCCCACCACTGCTCATGGGAACCAACTACTCCTATTAGAAGACTAAGATGATGTTCATAAAATCAATGGATGAAGACGCGCGGCGAACATTGTTGACTGGATGGAAACGACATGTTGCCATAGATGAAAAAGGGATTGAAACTGAGAAGCATGAGAAAGACTGGAGCAAAGCCGAACAAATTGCAGCAAATATGAATTCCAAAGCCTTGAATGCTCTATTCAATGGAATTGATATCAATCAATTCAAGATAATCTTTGCGTGTGAGTGTGCTAAAGAAGCATGGGAAAAACTCCAGACAACTTACGAGGGAACTGCTTCAGTTAGACTATCCAAACTTCAAATGCTTGCCACCCGGTTTGAGGATCTTCGAATGGAAGAAAATGAGACCGTGAGAGAATTTAACTCCAAATTATATGACATATCAAATGAAGCTCATGGCCTCGGCGAAACCTATCCTAAAGTTAAACTTGTACGAAAAGTACTCAGATCCATGCCAGATCGATTCGCATACAAGATCACTGCTATAGAGGAAGCCTGTGATTTGGACTCATAGCGACTTGAAGATCTAATTGGAAATCTGCAAACTTTTGGAAACAAGTTGAACATCAGCAGAATGGACAAGGAGAGAAAAATTGCTCTTCAAACTGTATCGGACACCACAACATCTGTGTCTACCGTTCCTATGACAGCACTTGAAGTCAAGCTCACAAAATCCATGTCCTTAATAGCAAAAAACTTCGGAAAGTTCATGAAAGGAAATGGACATCCTACAAACTCTGAGAGAAAACTCAGGACCTCTACAGATACGCCAGAAGTCAAGAAGGGAATTCGATGTAGAGAATGTCATGGTCATGGTCATATCCAGGCAGAATGTGCTAACACTCTGAAAAAACAAGGAAAATCACTTGCCACAACCTGGAGTGATGACAACTCAGATTCTGATGATGAGAGTGAAGCTAGTGACGATGATCTAGAAGGTGATACCCTTCTGAAACTCCACAAGATGATTTGGATCTGCCCTCAGATCCAGAGACTACCACCCACAACGTTGTGTTCCCTGCTCAACTCCGTCGCTCTAATCGAAAACTCGAAGGCCCATCTGTCTCCATTCCTTACTCCGAGTGTGAGGGTCATCACTCATCTTCTTCTGAACCCATTCCTGAAGATGACCCTCTTCATTCTACATCATCTGATTCGTCTGTGGGCTCTCAACTCTCCGCCGGTAACTGTTTCTCCTCCCTTTTTTATTCTGCCCTTGCTAAAGAAAATTGGGGTAGTATGAGTAAGCGTGTGTGTTCTCCTGAGCGTGTTTTATCTAGGGCTGTTTTACCTATGTCTGAGATTTTTCGTCTTCTAAAAACCCAAGGTTTGTTAGGTACTATTGTGAGTGTACAACCCTATGAACGGTCTGTTATTGTTGAATTTATGCCAATCTCTCTGATCGTTTTTCTGTTGTGGGGTCTCGTGGGTATGGAAAAGTGTTTGTGAGGGGTTCTTTCTATTATGTAACTCCGTCTTTGATAAATGACTTCTATAAATGTCCAAATGATGTGTCAACCAAACCCTCTGTTTCAAAAGAAACCGTGGACTCTGTTCTCACAGCCAAATTGTTGAAAAAATGGCCTGGTCCGAAATCTGTTTTCCAAGTTTCTAAGCTGACTCAGCTGTATTCGGTCCTATTTAAGATAGGCATTTCAAATTGGTTTCTCACTACCGACAATGCCACTCTCAATCCCACCCAAGCTGAACTTTTATGGTGCATCACTCATGACCATAAAATCAATATTGGTGATTTGATTTTCAATCAGATTGGTGTGTTAGCCAATTCCCGAATCGAGCGTGGGCATCTGCCGTTTCCTTCTCTGATCTATCAGCTGTTGATCAAATAAGGCATGCAACTCGTGATGCCACTATGTTGGATCCTCCTGCCCGCCCAATCACTATCCATGGTAAGGTCCTTTCTGAACACTTTGCTGATATGCCTCCTGTCGACCCTTATGTTGCTCAGACGGCCCCTAGCGCGAAGAAGGCTCCCATTGTCTTTGCCTCTGTTCCGCCGCCAGTTGATGTGGTCACCAAAGATGAGCTCACCCGTTTTCAGGAGTCTATCCGGGCTCAGCTTGCTCAGGGATTTGCGTCTATTCAGGACCAGCTGCTTAAGACTTTGGCACATTCTGGTCAGAAAGACTTTGACTTCAGCAACAACTCTTGCGGCTTCAACCGAGACCAAAGACAAAGGCAAAAAGAACGCATCCATCCTCACTCCTCCTCCGCCCAGCTCTCGTGATGAGGATGATCTATTCTCTGGCTTTAGCTATTAAAGCAGAGATTTATTTTTAATTTGCATTCTATTAGTCTTTAATCTTGAACTATCTGCTATTGCTTTTGGTCTGTAATAGCTAGTATTTTTCCTTTCTGCATCTTAGACTTTTTGATTGGTTATCTCCATATCTGCATTGATTACTATTTTTGAGTTAAATTTTTGTTGCAGTGATGTACTATCACTCTCTTATTTGTTTCACTGATGTGATGCTAATACTTTTTACTGCAGAAAATTTTTATGTTTCTACAGTTCTGTGTAGCAACTTCTATTGTGCTAACAGTATGTGATGCAGGGGGAGTTATTTTTTTCTTTCAGATAGTTTAGTCTAGCCTGCAGGGGGAATTCTTGTTAAACATGGGTTCTGACCAAATCTATACCAAATGGGGAGATTGTTGGCACCAGATTTCTACCGATAAAGAAACCCGCCACACTTGGGAAGTAAAGATTAGCAAAGATTTGTTCCCATGTTTATTTTGAAAATTTAGAGTCCTACCTTTGTAATACTTTAGGACTTAGATTTATTTCCTTGTACTTTACTCTTGCTAGGAATCTTTTATAGTTATCTAGATTAGAACTAGATATTGATTAGGATTATGTTTCCTAGTTATTTGATTCCTATAGAAGATAGGTCTTTGGAGGACGACTTCACGCCTATATAAGGCTCCTCGCCTCATAAAGACCGTGATAACTTTTGGGAGAAGAATTACTCCATAGCTTTGAAGAATCGCTGAAACGTTATGTTGAACAGAACTGTGCCATCGTTGCATGTGTCAACATATACAGATCTGTTGTATAGATCTCAAGTGAGATCAACCGCGTTACTGAAGGGAGTTCGTGCCTGAAGGGAGTTCTAGGCACACGGTGTGGAGCTGCTGTTGGAAGATACACAGAGTTCGAGTTGTGTACAAGAGCGGCATATTACATAAAGAGGTAGTCTTTAGTGTTTTTATTAAGTCCTATTAATGTACACTATAAATCTGAACTAGTGAAATCGTGTTTTCAGGTCCACGTGGATGTAGGGCACTGAACCACATTAATTCTTGTGTTCTGTTTATTTGCTTTAGTAGAATATAACTGTGTTAACACAAGAATTACAGTTGTAACTAAAACATTGTTTCGCCTAATCAAACTGTTACAACTAGGAATTATTGAATTTATAAGCATATAAATCTACAGCTTAGTGTATGTGGTGGCATGAAATTGTAATCTGAAATACAAATGTAAAATGAAATTAGTATAAATAGATGATTTGGACTAACAAGATCCACCAAATATTGTTATCAAGTAGCAATCGGAAATTCTTTATTTATATTCTAGTGACACAATATAACTAGGGGTGCAAATTTAGACCGGATGGTCTGTTTTAATAAGAAAATTGGATGCTATAGGATGATTGTCATGTGGATAATTTAAATTAAAATATAATTAGTATTCTAATAATTGGAAAAAAAAAACCCAGCAGAACCCGTAACCCCTGTAACCCTATTTCGTGATTTATTAAGAGTTAGACTTAAAAGTACCACATGTCAAAAAATTAGTGGAATCCGATTTATATTAAATATCGGCTCATCCGTTCAGAATTTAATCTCTATAACTAGAGATAAGGGCGTAAATTCAGCGAATCGAATCGGAATTATCACTTAAAAAAACTGTATTTTTAAGCGAAAACTAATTCGGATTTTGTTCTCAAATAAAAAAAAAAGAAAAAAATATCTTAAAATTTGGAATAAAACCTTCAAATGGAGACTTTCTGGAAAAGTTTGGAAATTCCCATTTCTAAGTCACACGTGGTATAAAATACATAATAATACTGACATTATAAGGATAACTTCTGGGGAAAAAAATCTGAATTTTTGGCAACAATTTTAAAATCAGAATATAATATGTATTCGGATTCTGAGATGTACCAAATTGCCCAAATTCGAATTTCCTTCTAGTATATATAAATATTTGTAACTTTTTTTTGAGTAAATAAATATTTGTATTATTGGTTTACAAATATGTTCAAGTTGTTCCTTGTTGTCCAAGATTTTAATATTTTTAATATCAATTAATTAATTGTTTTGATGAGAAAATCAATTAATCAATTAATTGATAACTGCATAACAAACAAACTGCAGATAGATACGTATTTAAAGAGACCTAAATCACAATCAATGGTAATTAATTATCGATTAATTAAAGAATTTAAATTGGATTCTAACTAGCAATTTATCTTCTTCCGTCCGCAAAAAAGAAAAAATAAATAAAATAATGATAATTCTGTTGAAAATAGCGGCGGAGGCGTTTCGGTCATTGGTATTCAGCCCCCAACCTCAAAATCCGGCGGCGCAGCAAAACTCCGATGGAAGAGCCACCACCGTCTTTCGAGCGGAAACAAGAAACTCTCGGCCGTCGCAACTCCTAATAATCCAGGCCCAGAATTTAATCAATTTTAGACAGATCAACATATATCACGACTCATACGGCGCCGCCGCCACCGGCCAACACATCGGAAGTACTGTCGTATTCCTACTTTTCTCCGCCGGCGTTTTCGCCTATCAGAAAATCACGGCCGAAACAACCCACCACTCCGCCGGCGAGGAAGAAACTCTTTCCGAACCAATCGCCGCCGCCGCCGCCGTAACTTTCACCTGCGAGATCTGCGCCGACGAGAAACCCTTAACCTCGTTCCGCATCCTCGCCTGCAACCACTGGTACTGCTCCGACTGCATCACAAAGTACATCTCATCCCAGCTCCTGGAGAACAACGCTGCCGCCATCAGCTGCATCGCCGCCGGCTGCGACGAGCACCTCGACCCATATCAGCTCCGGTCGATCCTGCCGGAGAATGTGTTCGTCCGGTGGTGCGACGCCCTGTGCGAGGCCTCGATTGAGGAAGAGGACAAATACTACTGCCTGTACAAAGACTGCTCGGCGTTTCTGATCAACGACTCGGAATCGAGAAAGGAGATCATCGCGCAGGCCAAATGCCCGGCGTGCGGGAGGTGCTTCTGCGTCACGTGCAAGGTGCAGTGGCACGAGGGTTTCTTGTGCGAGGAGTTTCAGAAGCTGAGAGTTGACGAAAGGAGCAACGAAGATTTGATGCTTATGAATCTTGCAAAGGAAAACAAGTGGAAAAGGTGTCCACTCTGCCAAATCTTTGTTGACAGATCTGAGGGTTGCTTGTTCATGAAATGCAGGTTTGTTTTTTTTTTTTTCTTTTTTTTTCAATTTTTTTTTTGGGGCTATATATTAATCTTTTAATTTGCATGAACTGAACATGTGTTGTATCATATTCATTCTTATATGATCTCACTATGTAGGGTTAGTGAAGGCAAAACAAAGATTATTTTATTCAAATAGGGTAAATTACTGCCACTCTAAGATCGGTCAAATTAAGAAAAAAAAAAAAAATCTTTATGTTCGGATAAATACAACCATTCGCATCAACTATGAATCTTTCTAAACGTTCATTTTTATAAGGTCAAATTCAACATAATTTTTCTAGATTCCGTGGAATATTCTCTAGTTTGTACCCGTGCAAAAATGGAGTTTTTTTATGCACCACAATCTGATATTTACAAGTCAAGAGACACATCTTCTGATCATCTTGTTTCAAAATGTGGAGTTTGAATGGGGTTAAGCATGTACTAACTGGAGAATATTCCACATAATTTAGAAGGTTCCACTAAATTTGACACTGCAATAATGGACGTGTAGGAAGATTCATAGTTAATGTGTGATTATAATTACCCAAACATGAGGAGTTACTTTTTAATTTGACATCACCTCATAGGGTGCCCGTAATTTAACCTATTCAAATAATTGATACATTTTTTTTCTTTTTTTTCTTTTTATTTTGAGAAAGATACATTTTTTTTTTCACTAATTCAATAAATTGTACGATTTCTTGACCATTGTCATATTTGTTTTGTTGGTTTTAGGTGTGGATATACTTTTTGCTACAACTGTGGAGCTCCACTAAAACAGCACTACTGTACCAATTGCAAGCACTAATTGTAACATGATTATTATTAGACTTGATGATTGCATTGAATATTAGACTTGTTATTTTTTTTTTTTATAACGAAGGAACTCGTAGTTAACTATATGGGTGTATTGGATAAATTTACAGTCTCGTATAATACTAAATTTATTACGTTATAGCTAAAAAGTTCTAGTTTAAGTAAAAATATATTCCAAAATCAAACCGATCATGTTATTGGTTTAATATTATAAGAGATTGATAGTTGATGAAGAAAAATGAGACTTACATTACACTATGGTTAGTTAGATTAACTTAATTGTTGCTTTTACCAAAATCTCATTCAAAACCATGAAACATGAATAAGTGGAAGTTGTATGCTACACCGAGTTATTTATACTGGATGATTGTTAACCGTGGATGGGGTTAAATAACCTCCCACTAACACTAGTAGAAAATGTTTTTTTACTACGATTTTTTTTGCCACGGTAAAAACTAAAAAGACGTAACTAAAGGTATATGTTACTAATCTTGGAGTCGTGGTAAACGTTAGGATTTATCGTAACAAAACAAAAAATAGCTACGGCCATTTACCGTTGCAAAGTTTTTGTCACGCCTGTATATGTTACGGATACACACGTGCGTGTGATTATATGCAGATTTACGGTTAATAATCACCCGGTATAAATGACCTGGTGTAGCATAAAATTTCCGTATGGAATTTGTTTATCAGAACATTTTATTTTTCCATTTTCAAAATACTGATTTTTATTTTTCTAAAATTAAACATTAATACAAAAAGTGTAATTAATATATATATATATATATATATATATATATATATATATATATATATATATATATACATTCTTGCAATGTTTATGAAGAATAATATTCTTCTGAATTTAACCAAGTTTATGAAATTAGAGACGAACCGCCGGCACAATTTTTAACCAAGTTTGAGCATTTTCCCTTACTTTCGGAGAATGGGATTGAAAAATACGAAACCAGAGAATTTGTAGCTTGTAACTACAAATGGTATGTTTGAATCTATAGTTATTAGGGTTTTAGGATATTTTTGTCACTCATTTTAATTAATTTGCATTTCGTTTTGATGCACAGGAGACTCGTAATTTATCCTGATGGTATAGAAAAAGACAACCATATTTCCACGTATTTGGAATTGATTACTTCTCTGCCTGCGATGGATTCGGATATTAAAGCCATCTTCAATATCTTCTTGTTTAATCACAAGTTAGACAATTATCTTTGTTTCCGAGGTAATTTACATAATATATAATAATACAAGTCTTTATTTATATATAACAAAGATAATTATATTCCTCATGATCGATACGGTTATTTTATTTCGGTTTTTTTTTTTGTTGAATCTTTTGTAGGGAATGTTAGAAGCTTTACGAAAACAAAGCCGAAATGGGGATTCAACAAATTGATCTCGGGGACAATTTTGAGAGATCCATCAAACGGTTACATTTTCGACAACGATTGTGTGTTTGGAGCTGAGGTTTTTATCATAGGAAGCCAACCGATAACCGATTCTTTGTCCCCTATCAAACCGCCGGCGCCACCTTTGCATATTCCAAAATCCGTCATCAATTGTGACTATGATCTTGGCTTTGTACCGTTGGCCACTATTAATATGGCATCAAGTATGTTGAGCTGCGTGGTGGCAAGTTACTTGATTGGTTATTACGGAACCATGACAAGACAACGTCGAAGAAAAGAAATTAGACTCGTGGAGAACTCGCAAATTATCGTCATTATCTGTACATGAGAGTTGACCATAATTTGGATTTGTACTCGAGTTTGATGTTGCGAGCAACTATAATATTTCTTTTTAAAGTGCGAATTTATGATTTTTTAGAATTTGTTCCGTTGAAGAGGTTCGAATTTGTTTTGCTAATTTGCTCAAACTTAGCTCGTCATTATACGATAGTAAATGCTATTTTACTTGAGGATTCATTATATATGTTCCACTTTTGTCTATATTTATCGGCTCGGATTTCTAATAGAGGAGGGGATGATATTATATTTTCGTGGAGATTAGCTAGTTGAAACTACCTCATAGTCAGTCATATAGGTGCATTGGGTGTTCGACCCTATTCTATATTTATATTAATAATATTTTGATAGCTGGAAAATTCGACCATATTCTATATTTATTTAAATTGTCGAACAACTGTCTCTATTATTTTCATTAGCATAAACTTTTCCAAAAAAATTATCTAAATCATTATGCAGGTAACGTCGGACGCTTCACTAAAGTCTAGTCGAAATGGGGATTCGACAAATTTATCTCGAAGAAAAAAAATTCAAGATCCATCAAAGGGATACATTGTCAACGGCAACTGTGTGTTTGGGGCCGAAGTTTCTATAGTCGGAAGCCAACCAAAAATCGAGTCTTTCATTCCTCGTAGACGAAAAATACATCTCTATAGACAACCTAAATAGAAGGTTGTAGACTTGTTCACTCGTAATGGAGACTGGGCTCTCAAGATTGCAACGGGCCTTTGTCTATGCTCGGCGGGCCTAGATATTTCGGGCCGGGCCGATTGTTTCTTCCGAATATATTCAAAGCGGAGGAGAAACGAATCTTCAAATATGCAATCTGCAAATTGAACAAGAAATGGGGCTCTGAAGAAGTAACTGTGAAAGATTACAGAAAATGTTATAATGAATATTATGCGGTTGATATGAAGATGTTAAGAATGGCTCTTTATTACATTACGTATATGTATACTATAATATTAATATTTTAAATATACTTTCTAAAAAAAAGAAATCAACAATAATAACCAAACGTCAAACTAACCCTTGCTATTTAGTTAATCTTGGCTAATATCCCAAACCAAACGATGCCTAGAAATATGAGTAATTATTAATTTGGGTTGAATTTAGGCGAATATGAAATTAAAAAACAGAGCATCAACTTACCTCCAGATAGATTCCAGAACCATCTAATAACCGTATTTTCAGTTGCAGCCGAAAATTGCAGTTACTTCTTTCTCTTCACCACCCACACCGAGCAGCTGATCGGTGGCCCCGCCGTCAAGAAACGAGAATTGAACGGCGATATGATGAACCCTCCGAACATTGATGCCAAGCGTCTCATCAGCCGGCGAATCTCGAGATCTTATTACCACTGACACACATTTGCGCGAGAAGATTTCACAAATCGTCTGGTCAACTATTTTGCTGCGGAGTTCACTCGGAAGCACAAGAAAGACCTAACCGTCACCTCTCTCCGGCAGCCCGCGAGAGGGTTCTGTCCTCGGAAACTCAAAAGACGATCCAGATCGATTCTCTGTAACGATGGGGTCGATTTCAAAGCCTCCATTACGAATGAACATCGGCATAGAGACAGGCGGCGGTTCGATGTCTGTTTTGATCCCGAAAAACACCACACTTCCGGCCAAGAAAGAAAGAGCGATTTTTGTCCACTTACTACGATAATCCGACCACCATGCACGATTTATCGTGTTTCATGGGCTGAGGCCTATGGCCAGGGACAACCATCGAGTTAGGACGTACGTACCTGGCAGTGGGTGGCGAGGGTGATGTGGCGGTGGGTGATGGTGCTGATGTAGCAGAGATTTGGGAGAGAGAGAGAGCATCACTGGAGTTGTTAAATAGGATCTGCAGCAACTTCTTCCGAGTAACTCTTACTGTAGTAAATCGAAGAATTTTATCAGATCAAATGGAATCCATGTACAAACTTAAAATACACTTTCGACATATCCATCAGCTTGGGATCAACCAGATTTACGGGCACCTCTACATATATATATATATATATATATATATATATATATATATATATAGTATTTCGACAAAAATATACATTATTATAACTGCTTTTCAGAATTGAAGATATTCGAGTTTTCTGATACGAACTGAAAGTCTTGAAGTATCAGACACAACAACTAAAAAGAACTGCTAGAATAACGAGTGTGCATTTATTCAGACAGTAGAGAATAATTCCAATAATAAATGAAACATTTCCAATAATATTTAGTGTGAAAAAAAATAAAGAATCAATCTAATTCCAACAACCTCTGCATATTAATTACTACATAAATGGAGTATATATATATAGACTATCAGCTAGGCTATATCACTAATGAATGATTAAACCTATCAAAATCGAGTCGACAAATTCTTCCCTACACAGCTGAGGGAACCGTAAAACTAACTGGAAAACGCTCTCTACTTTCCGACAAAACTTGTGTCGAAACCTTCGTCTCTTCACAAACACTCGAACTAATCTCATCCTCACCATTTTCTTCTTCGTTTTCATCGGACAAATAATAAAACGAATAATCATCCGAACACGAACTAACTCCACAGTCACTTTCAGACACCAACAAAACCGAATCAATCTCACTCAAATCCTCCTCCACTTCTTCCTCTTCCTCCTCATCGTCCGCCACGTCATCATCATCATCGAAAATTTCGACACCTTCGACAAACGGGTGATTCAGCAGCATCTCGGCGGTCAATCTGAACATAGACTTCCTCACGAAACAACCCTTTAGAAAATCCCTCGCCTCCTTCGAAACCCCAATCGGGATTTTAGGCAATTCTCGCCCCGCCCCAATTTTCGCAATAATTTCGTCGTTTGTCAATTCTTTCTTCTCGTCTTCCCAAACGGGTTTCCCCGTCAGCATCTCGAGCACGATGCATCCCAGCGCCCAGATATCGCTAGGCGGATCTTGAATTTTATCGATTACAGCCTCGGGGGATAAGTACATAGGCGTGCCCCTCCAATAGGGCTCCATCAATTTCCTCTTCTTGCTCTGCTTCACAGCAACCCTCTTCGACAATCCGAAATCCGCGATTTTCGCCCTGAAATCGCTGAACAGCAGGATGTTGTCCGGCTTAATGTCGCAATGAACATAGCCGCTGACGTGGATGTGATTCAGACCCGTGAGAATCGACTTGGTGAATCTCTTAACCTCGAATTCGGACAAACCCCCGCCGCCGCCGGCGTTGGAATTCTTGATTTTCTCCGCCAGTGTGCCGGCGGAGCCGTACTCGAGGAGGAGATTGTAGACGACGGCGCCGTTTTGGCCGGTAGTAGTCTCGTCGCCGAAGCACTTGATTATGTTGGGACAGCCTTTGACGGCGTTGAGAACCTCCCTCTCGTTCTGAATTGAACCGGAGGCGGAAACCTCGGCGGACTTGACGGCCATTAGAGATGGGTAATAGCTGTATTTTGATCTGGGTTTCTTCAATGTTGCTAGGTAAACACGCCCGAAGCTTCCTTTTCCGATCATTGAACCCCGATACCACGACACCCCATCTCCATATTCGTTCGCCATTGCAGGAACGAAGAAGTAGATAAAAAAAGAATCTTTATTTCTTTTTCCTGGAAAATTGGGGCAAGATACTAGGAAACTAAGAACAACACAAAAGGGGGAAAGGAAAAAGAAAACCTAGAAATCAGTTTAGTGAGTAGAATTTCTGTTTTGGGGGCTTTTAGAAGTGGGGGAAAAATTGAATTAGGGTTTACGTGAAAGAAAACAAGTGGTGGTTTGTTTGCGGTTTCTTGATATGGGGGAGGGGGTGAATTGGGCGAGAGCAGCCGCGTTTGGTTGACGTGAAAAGAAGAAAGAAACACACACACACACACACACACACGTACAAAGGAAAGTGAAAATTTTTATTTAAAAAAAAAAAAGAAAAAAGAATATTATAATATAACAGTAATAACTGTCGATGGGTTAACGTATGGGCGATGTCTTGCAAGTTTGGTCAGAAGAGGCTCAAACTTGGTCGTACGCGGTGACTTTCCTTTTTATAACTTAGATTATTTGCAACAGCCTTTTTTTTTTTTGAAAGGGTTATTTTTAATTTACGATGAATGTATTGTAACAAATTTACCGGGGTTCGGATGCAGGGAATATGATTTTTTTTTTTTTTTAAGTTTTATAATAGAATATTGGAAAACAACTAAATATTTGTCGACTTGAATTAAAATAGTATGTACTCATGACAACATACGAGGAAAATGTAGTATTTTTGTGGTTGAACGATGTAGAATAAGGAGCGAAATTATAAAACAATTTTGACGGATTGATTTTAATATGGATTATATTATAAAAAATTACAAATTATATTGTATCTTTGAAGAAGGAATGTATAAATATTGTTAGAATACTTTGAAAATGTGTCATGATTAATTTGATTATGTTTGTTATTCTTTCATAGAGGTACCCCTCCCTCCTTTTAATGAAGAATATAAGTTTAGTTACAGTTTCATACGGGCTAGTTTGACAACATAACAAATAAGTGTAAGCCCATTAGGTTAAGCCCATTGTGATAGACCCACGACAAGGAGCCCATGATGGCTTAGCCCGATATTATGGGCCCAATAGTCGTATTGCAGAAACTTCGAGAACTGTATGGACGAACCGCAACTCGCTAGCCAAGTACTAAAACGAGGTAAAGCGAGCCCATGGCAATTCAGACCCAAAATATGTGACTTGAAGGTAAAGGTAAACCCTAGAAAAAGGGAAGTCTTGGAGGCCAAGTCTTCCCTCATCTATAAATAGAAGGATTAAAACACACACACGCACGACAACAACTTAAATTTACTGTTACATTACATACATAGTTTTCTTCGGTTCTGATCACTGACTTGATCGTCGGAGCTTTCCCGCCGGGAACCCCTCCCGGCGTTGCAGGTCTATCCACCGGAGTACGGACGGAGCTGGCTTGAGGAAGACGAAGACCTACGGACTAAATCAAGTGGCGCCGTCTGTGGGAAGGATCTAAAAATCTTGGGGATAACTTCCGGGAAAATATCAGATCTACCCCCGGAAGTCCAGATCTGAGCTATCAACGTAGAGAACAATGGAAGAAGGAGATATCACTGCCCGGAATTTGCAGAAGGATTTAGATGCAGTAGCTCGCAGTACACCGGCTGATCCATCGTCCGTTCAGAAAGATAAGTCGGGGTGTAGCTTCCTTACACCTGAAAAGGAGGGTCGGATCCCTTTCACCCCAAGCAGCCCCTCTTTTGAGTTCCAGGATGGCGAAGCTGCTTCAAGAAGACCAGCCGCAACCCCCGCTCAGGCTCCCAATGAGCGTACATATACCCGGGACGAGGTGGAAACCATGATCACCGCGGCCATCCGAAACTACACCCAAAATTTACCTCACGATAACCGACTCAGGAGAGATCCCAGACGTTCTCCGAACGAAGGACGAGCTGAGGACGAGGGCGATAGTTATTCGGAGAACCGAGGGGGTAATAGTCATGGCGTTAGAACAGAAGTTGACAGCTTAAGACGCGATATAGATGAGTTGAAGGCCTTGCGAAGTGGGCCAGCGCGAGATCTCGTAGGATCTAGCCCTTTCGCTAGTCATCTCGATAGCGACCCTATACCAGCTAACTACCGACCGATCTTATTTGAGTACAACGGCACGTCAGATCCAGCTAAACACTTGAGTCGGTTTAACAACACTGCCTCACTTCACCAGCTCACAGAAGGGGTGAAGTGCCGTGCCTTTGTCACCACTCTAGCAGGTCCGGCCCAGGCATGGTTCGGTCTGTTACCTGCCGGAACCATCCGATCTTTTGAACAACTTGCCAAAGCTTTCATGAACCAGTTCGCTAGCTCGAAGAAGTGTAAGAAGACCTCTCTGTCACTATTCAGCGTTCGTCAGAAGGAGAAAGAAAGTCTCAGAAACTATATCAAACGATTCACTTCGGCTACCTTAGAAGTCCCCACTACCAGCGACGAGGTGCTCATGGCAGCTCTTTCGCAAGGACTGAGAGATGATGAGTTTTTCCGAGCTTTGGCGCTGGAACCTTCGCCCGATTTTGACCATCTCCTAGAAAGGGCGTCTAGGTTCATTAACTTAGAAGAAGCCCGGCAGCAGAAAGTAGAAGAATCTCACCAACCCGCGAACACACGAGCCAACGAAGTAAAAAGAGTCAAAGAACCACTGTTACCTCGAAGGGATGCTAGTACCCCCGGCCGAGGTATCGCCTCAGACGCTAAGGGATCACGATTCCAATCGTATCAGCCCCTTACGGCTCCTATGTCCCAGGTGTTGTACGCGATCGAGAAGAGAGCTGATCTGCGGTGGCCTAGGACCGCTCGCGGAGCCCCCCGTCGAGATCCGGCACTAGGTACTTTTTGCCGTTTTCATAACGAATACGGACATACGACCGACGACTGCGCACATTTAAAGGACGAAGTGGAACGTCTCATCAGAGATAACAAGTTCGGGGACTTTGTGAAGATAGATCCACCTCGGGGACAAAAGCGTGAAGCCCAGTTTGGGAACCCGCCACGAGCACCGCCCCCACCGCCAGCGCCGAAAAGAGGGTACATTCAGATGATTTCGGGGGGTCCTACGGGAGGAGATACTCACCGGGCTAGGAGACGCCATCTCGGTAGCCTCAAAAATAATCATGAAGTTTGCCAAATCTCTACACCGGAGTATCGTCAATATCCCACTATCTCGTTTGGTCCTGAAGATGAAGCGGACCTAGATGATTTCCATTGTGACCCTCTCCTCATCACGATTAACGTTGGAGGGTACGACGTCGCTCGCGCCTTCGTTGATCCAGGAAGTTCGGTGGATGTCATATCCTACGAGTGTTTCCTGCAAATGGAGCTTGACCTCCCGATCTTCCCCGTCACCACGCCGATATTCGGGTTCACGGGGGGATCCCTGACGCCGGTTGGACAAGTTAAAATCCCTGTCACTATAGGAACGCCACCTCGAACACGCACTCAAACTGTCAATTTCGTCATTGTCGAAGGATCGCCAACCTCGTATAATATCGTGATAGGGCGACCGATGTTACATACCTTTCGGGCGGTCCCTTCGACCATTCATCAAAAGCTTAAGTTTCCAATTGATGGAATGGTGGGAGAGGTCAGGGGCGACCAAGCCCAATCGAGATCGTGTTATGTCGAAATGGTTAAGATAGCAGAGAAAGGCCGACGCGATACCCTCACCAAAGAAGATTTGGGAGACGAGAAGCGCCCCCGAGTTGATCCAGAGGATAAAGTTAATCATGTACAACCCATGGACGAATTGATGACAATCGACCTCGTCCCCGGGATGATGAAACAAACCCGGATAAGTAAGGATTTAGAACCACCTCTTCGGGACGAGTTGATAGCGTTATTGCGGTCTAATAAAGATGTTTTTGCTTGGCAACCAAGTGATTTGACCGGTATATCGCCGCGAACTGCTGTACACAGGCTTAATTTACGACCCGAGTGCAGGCCCGTCAAGCAAAAACGGCGACACTTCGGTACCGAAAAAGACGAAATCATACAGAAGGAAGTTCAACGACTTCTGGAAATCGGACACATCCGGGAAATTCAGTTCCCTACATGGCTGTCCAATGCGGTGTTAGTACAGAAAGCCAATGGCCAATGGCGAATGTGTATCGATTTCAGGGACCTAAATAAGGCTTGCCCGAAAGACGATTATCCTTTACCTCGCATAGATCAGCTTGTAGATGCCACTGCTGGATGCGAGCTACTTAGTATGATGGATGCCTCGCAAGGATACCACCAAATTCCGCTAGACGAAAAGGACCAGCCAGCAGTAAGTTTTGTCACCGCCACAGGGACTTACTGTTACGTGGTGATGCCTTTCGGCCTGAAAAATGCAGGAGCCACGTATCAGCGATTGATGGATAGGATGTTTCGGGCCCAACTCGGACGCAACATTGAAGTTTATGTTGATGACATGTTAGTTAAAAGCAAGAGGCGCTCTACGCATCTCGCAGACCTAGCTGAGACCTTTGCAACTCTTCGTTTATATGGAATGAAGTTGAACCCTGCTAAGTGTGCATTCGCAGTACAAGCTGGAAAGTTCCTGGGATACATTGTTAATCGGGAAGGCATCAAGGTAAACCAAGATAAAGTGGAGGCCGTACTTCAGATGACACCTCCTCGTTCCATCAAGGAAGTCCAATCCTTGGCAGGAAAAGTTGTAGCCCTAGCTCGGTTTATATCGCGAATGGCTGATAAGAGCCTGCCTTTCTTCAAAGTACTAAGGAAAACAGCTCAGTTCGAATGGACCACCGAATGCCAGCTCGCATTCGAAGCATTAAAACGATCTCTTACTTGCCTGCCGATTCTTAGCACCCCTGAAAAGGGTGAAACCCTGTTTGTATACTTGTCAGTGGGCGATGAGTCCATCAGTTCGGTTTTGTTTAAGGAAGTTAATAATCAACAAAGACCGATCTACTATACTAGTAAGATCCTCACTACGTCGGAAAGCCGATATTCTGAAGTCGAGAAAATAGCGTACGCGCTGGTCCTCACTACGCGACGACTCCGGCCTTATTTCCTGTCGCATACCATGGTGATTCGCACAAGCTTACCCCTTCGGCAGACCCTAGGTCAACCTACCGCGTCAGGGCGAATTGTTAAATGGGCCATCGAGCTGGGACAGTACGAGATTCAATATCAACCCCGTACCTCGGTCAAAGGACAAGCGCTGGCGGATTTCATCCGAGAAACCACCAGGATATCCATCGAAAAAGAGTGGAAAATTTACGTGGATGGTTCATCTACAACCTCGGGAGCGGGGGCAGGGATAATAGTTATTGATCCCACTGGAACGGAAGTCGAGTTTGCCGTTAGGTTACCTC